TATGTGCTGCGAGAGGCGAGCGTAGAGCGGTTCCTGCTCGGCTGTGATGGCGAACACCAGGTTGATTCTGTGGATCTTCGCCATCTCGTTGATCTGGCGGGAGGGGAGACACAGACGGAATGTGACTCTTCATGAAGTGCATCACAATATGCTTTTTTCAGTTTTTGCATGCGTGGTGAAGTAATGTACAAAATACAAACAGTTACTGTTTCCTTCTACTGACATGTGGAAATGCACAGACTCACAGATCCATTTCATGTAAAAGCGCATGAAAGCTCGTACTCAAAATGTATCAAGATATGACACATTAGAAGATAAAGGTGGATCATAGGATAGGTAAGACTTCTCATTACTGTCCGATGTTAAGACTATTACAAATATCACAAGAACCAGGGTGCTTCGTTTTATATGTGTTATGTGTTATGTGCATAGTAATGTTAAAACAACAAAAACAACTTATTCTGAAACAAAAAGACATGTCAGTGAACAACGGCCTCTCACAACAGCAGTGTCTGTCAGTAAGCAGCATTCTTTTACATTGTACAAAGAAAAAATGCAACTTATATCTTTGATCACTGTAACCAAACCACCATTAACACATACCTGAGCAACTGAAGGATAGTCGTACTCAATGGCTTTGTTATATTCATTGTTGTTGTCAAGATGGCACTGCTTGTCATTGGGTCTTAAGATGCCAGCCAGCTGAAGGAATGACAGCATGTTAGTTTGCTTTTAGGACACCTCTCATTAAGTCGGTCTAGCACCAGTAACATGTCCTACACCTTTAGAGACATTTTATTAGGTTATTTAGGTTGATTCCCGATACTTGAAATTCATTATGTAATCAGTCTAAAGAAAGAAAAATAGGAGTCATCATCACCAGCGAGAGTTACTAAAGTACTAACATTTTTTCCGGAATCGTATTGACTCTAGCATGAATATTTGAGCCGCAGTTCAGTCTGTTAGGAAGCATTATGTCACCGCACATGCATGCAGCCTTGACCACAGGTCAAAGCTGCATGCGTGTTCTTATATGCCAAGCACACACTAAGCACATGGCACGTCCTTACAAATTTAACAATGTCAGTGGAAGATTCTGTGACATGACAAAAATGTTTAGCGCTAATGGACCGCATGAAATCAATATCAAGTGCATTAGGGTTATGCTGTAGTAACTCTCCCTGATTTTTTTCATTCATAATGCCAGTAATAGAGCGATTTCTTTATGTTGATTATTCATAATCCAGATAATCGAAGGTAGCTGTAATTTACTTCACTCCTTTGTAAATATTAGGATTCTTTCTTGAGTCCAAAAAGAGCAAGTTATTATTGTAAGAAAATCTGTCCTAATGTGATCCGTGTGTAAATTTGTTTCCTCCCAGACCATCTAAAGTTTCCGTTCTAAATAATTTATGTGAATACATAAGAAATATTAAAGGCATGTTCACATTACAGATTTTTTATATCTTTTATGTCACTCTTAAGCTAGCATATGATACAGTCCAACATATTCCACAGTATAAAACGTATATGGACAGGGGATCACTTGATCCTCTATATTTCAAGGTTTTGAAAAATCGTCCGTCAGACACTACCCACAAGTGTTCCTTCTACTGAAATCCTATTAAAGTTAACTAATGGGAAAATTAAGTAATAGTGCTAATATGTTTAGTTATGAAAGTACAAGATTCCGTTTACAAGTACGATATCACATATCGTGTGTACATCTATATTTACAATCTGTGCTTGTTTGTTAAATGTTTCTCTTATGTGGAAATACTGAATGTGTAAGATAACAGAGATTTATTAATATTGTTACAGAATATCACATAATGTGTTGTATTACACATGGAGAAAGCCAAAATGAGTTTCATTGCAGCGAAAAGGTGATAAATGTGTGACTACCGATGGAAAAATAAATGTTGAAGAAATGTCTGGCAAAAGGGAATATTATCTGCATGGGAAAATTGATGATGGTGGCAGATTGATTAGATGAATAATAATAAAAAAAAAGCTTTGTGATGGGCCATTCTTGACAATAACCAAGTCACACCTTAACCATTACCAATGCCTTAAAACAGCAGACATTGTAGAAATTATGGGGGGAAAACTATTTCCTGTTTAGCTACTGTGAAAACTTAATATTACTTTTCTTTCTTTCTTTTACCTTTCCATCCCCCGCGAGATGGAAACCAGCATCAGTAGAGAATATGATCACCCGAAAACTGGTGTCGCGCCACTTGATTTTCTCCTCGCACACTATAGCTTGCATGAGGCCATCGAACCCGCCCTCTGGGAAGTCCTCGTTGGCGGCGCCCTTCGCTCGCTCAACCTCCTCCTGTCAGAAGGAGAAATGTAAGGGAGGGATGTGATGCGTTAAATGCATGAATAAATGGCCATTTCTTTGATATGTATATACTCTTCATATACATTGTAAATAAAAATGGTACCATTGGTTTATTTAGTCTTGGAAGACTTGCGAGGCCTTCTGTGAATGTAAGATGTGTTTGTACGTAGTTATAGACTTTGCTATGCATGAATTAATGATATCCAATTTTGGGCTTAGAGTTTGATGCTGTAGGTTTCCTACTCCAGATATGGCCTAGTCCTTAAGCCATCTCAGCGTGCCTGACCACCCATGTTAGTGACACGTCCCTCTGCTAGTCCATGTATAGTTTAGTAGGGGGGGAGGGGCAGTACTACTTTACAGGGACTTGTGTTGTCAATCGGGCCTATGCATGACAGGCAGTGCATGCATGACTGGTGCTCTTGTAGAAACAAGAGCAACCAGAGGAATCTCACGTTTCAAATCACACACTTTGCATATGCACTAACAAATGCCTCTTAAGTATCCCTCAAGACAATGAGCTTAAATGCTGTAATATGTTAGATCAACATGACAGGGACTGATCTGGACACAATGGTGACTATTCCCAACCTGCGTCTGGGTCTAGAGCTGGTTTGAACCCATATGGCAACCCACATGCCCAATAATGGTTTACTCACTCAAGGAGAAATGCGCTGTTAAGTAATTTACCGTGAAAGCTGAGACATTGTTAATGAGTGGAAGAGCGTTCTTGAAACTGTAGGCTGGTGTTTCGTCCCTGCAAAAGATTAGGGACTATAAATCTGCCTTTGGATGTACACACAAATATTATGAATTGGATTCTGCACTGTGTCCAAGATCCTATAAATATAACATATATTATTTTACAGATACAAAACAAATTAATTTGAATCGCGTAAGAGCATCAAAACTGTTAAAACTTATTAAATTGGCTGGCTCACCCAGTCACTGGAATTGTGGAAATGTAAGGCAACACTGGCTTGTCAATGAAGATGCCAAAACCTAGTTGCAAGTTGGAGGTGATCTGCTTCATTCCTTCTGCCAGCTTTTTTCCAAGAGTAGACAACATTTTCTTATCGTCTGCCATGGATTTGGATCCATCCATCATGTAGTAGACGTCAGCTGGATAATTGTTTAAGTGGCTGTAGGTCAAGGTTATGTTGTAGGGAGTCTCTGAAAAAAGACGGAACTTGGGAGATGTTTTTGAAAATATGTTATATATGAAGGTCTATATCAAAAGAGTAAGTTGAAAGGTTCAACATAAGATATACTTCTGAACTCATTAAATCAAGGTCCTGTAACATATTACAGAAAAATGTTAATGGAATTTGGTAAACTTAGTTAGTGGAAACTATTATCGCCATGCATAGGGGTTATCCTAGTCTAAAACCTTTTAGTCTGTTCACATTGTGAAATGTCTGTGCCTGCATTTTCATTATACTGCGATGTCAAATTAGATGTCTAATGACATGTCTGATGAGGTATTCTGAGGAGAAAGTGTTAGAGGAACTAAAGAATTTTAATGTAGTGGCAGTAAAACGAAAGTTGACGGTTTGAAACAGTCGACACAAGCTCTTCTTTTACCTTATGAAATGTTAGTCCTAAAATCAGTTAAGTTGGCATGGTACTACCTCAAGGTAAAGCCTTATGTGCCCAACCCCATGCAGTGCTTCCACTGCCAGGGTTATGGGCATGGAGCCAACTCTTGTCGTTTTAAGGAAAATGGACAACCAAGAGTATGTGTAATGTGTGGTACAACAGGTCATCAAGGAGATGACAACTGTCCAGATCCAATATGCTGTTACCATTGCAAAGAAGTACATGAAGATTCTTCAAAGCAATGTAAAAGGGACACGTTTAAAAAAAAGTGTTGGTAATAAAGAGCAAGGAGAAAGTTAGATTTTCAGAGGCAAAGCAACGTGTCCATGTGCTGTTTGCACAGTCAAGTAAGTCCTTTGCCTCTTCTAGCCCATCCTCATTCCCGCCATCCCTTGCCCTCCAATACTTCTTCGACCATACACTCTGCCACTACCTTTAAACCTCAGTCCTCAAATGCTAAAACTGCCTCTGGTGAGTTTTTTCCGCCAGATACGGAGTAGGGGTGATGGGTCTATTGAGGAGACTCCTTCCAAAGTAAGGTCTTTGGAGCCATCAGTCAAGGCTCCAGAGGCCTCAATGGTAACAGCCTCAGCTGCCACCATATCCACAGGGGCCTCTGCTGCTAGGCAGAACACCCCTAAAGCAAAGGCTCAGGAGTGCCCTATTCTCAGGCAAAGGAATCCTGAGCCTGTTTAGAAGACTCCTTCCAGAGTGGGATCTTTAGAGCCACCAAGTGGGGCTCTGCAGGCCTCAGCGGTGACAGCCCTAGTTGCCACCACATCCACAGGGGCCTCCACTGCTAGACAGAATGCTCCTGAACCAAAGGTTCCTGAGGTCCTGAGCCTGTCCAAAGGAAGCCTGTGGAAAGTAATTCCACAGGCAAACCCTTCAAAAGGTATTCCCAAGATGCTGGAAAAGGACAGCCTAAAGGTGTGGGGCAGGCCTTAACCACAGGTGTTGTCAAACACCTTATGAAGAAGTTTGTCAAACTGAAGAACTGGATATCCTAATCCAATGGAACTGTCAATGGGAAGAACCGCAACATCTGATAGCTTCATGTAACCCTGTTTGTGTATGCCTACAAGAGATTATGACCAGAGAAAATCATCCAATTTCCCTGTGAGTATTCTAAGTTCAAGCCCATTATGGGACCTTTAATAATGGACCTCATGGAGGAGTAGCAGTGATAGAACGTCAGGATATTCCCTTCCAGGCTATCCACCTGTAGACGACACTGCAGGTGAAGGCTGTGAGAATAGGCTTGACACGACCTTACACTATTGCATCCATCTACCTCCCTCCTCATAATCTGAACATAAATGATTTGGAAGATCTACTTGGGCAGTTGCCTCATCTATTTCTACTCTTGGGAGATTTCAGTAGTTTAGCTCTGGTAAACACTTTGTGCAACCCTCGAGGAAGGGCTTTGGAGTCCTTGTTCTCAAGAGTAGATGCAGTCTTACTGAACAGTGACACACCCACACACTTCCAAATTCAAACTCATTCTCCATTATTGACCTGTCAATTGGTTCACCTGATTCACAATTGAATTTCACTTAGCTGGTCATGGAAGACTTACATGGAAGTGACCAGTTCCAATACTTTTGGAGAAGGTGAATGGTATTCCAGCGAATGGAGTGCAGAGATGGCAACTAGAACATGCGGACTGGAATCTTTTTAGATCAACCGCAGTATTGCAAGGATCTGTAAATGATTTCCATTATGTTCAAGATGCTGTTAATTATTTCACATCACGAATTCACTTTGCAGCAGAAGCATCCATTCCCAAAAGTAGTGGGCAGTACTGTCGATCTCCGGTACCATAGTGGTCTGATGAATGCCAAAAAGCTGACAGAGCAAGAAATGCTGCATTAAGCGATGTAACGGATGCCTCGATAAACTCTGGGACCCCCCTGGGTCAAGGTGCATAAGGTCATTGGAAAGAGCACATCCATGTCACCACCTGCTCTGAAGATAAATGGCATAATCTTCATACACAAAAAAGATGTTGCAAATGAGCTAGCTAAATCCATGGCAGGAAGTGACGATATACCACACCAAATGACTCACTTATCAGAGAGCTCCCAAAAGTTCCTATTAGACCTATTCAATAGAATCTATAGGGAGGGCACAGAGACATCCACATGGAAAGAGGATATAATCATTCCTATCCCTAAACCTGGCAAGGATGCTTCCATACCAGGGAATTACAGACCAATTTCTCTTAACAGTTGCATCTGCAAGTTGGAGAAAATGGCAAACTTTAGGTTGACATGGCAGAAAAGGAAAACGTGCTGACCCCATAACAATATGCGTTTTGAAATTTGAGATCAACCACAGATGCACCTGTGAGGATGGTATTTAGAATTCCTTCACACAGCAACATCACATGTTAGCAGTCTTCTTTGACCTTGAAAAGGCTTATGATACCACTTGGAAGTATGGCATACTCATGAAGCTGTGTGACATTGGTTTAAGAGGAGCATTACCTACCTTCATACAAAGCTTCCCTACTGACAAGAAGTTTAGAGTGAGGGTGAGAAACAGTTTCTCTAACCTAGAAGATCAACTGGATGGGGTCCCACTAGGGGACTGTCTTAAGTGTGACCCTCTTTGCCATTTCTATAAATGACATCGTAAATCATTCCAAGTGCTGTCTCATATAATCTGTATGTGGATGACTTTACACTGTATTGCTCAGGAGGAAGCTTACAGGATGTACAAGGGCACATATAGATATATACTTACTGCATTAAATCAGGTTGTACAGTAGGCAACATACTATGAGTTCAAATTTTCTCCAAGCAAGACCATGGCCATGCGAAGAATTCCATCCTTCCCGCTATTTAGGAGCAAACCTACTGCATTTTGTCCAAGAGGTGAAGTACTTGGGTCTAATTTTTGACTCAAGACTTACATGGGTGCCTCACATCAATTAAAGGTGAAAGCTACAAAAGGGCTTATTCGTAGTAAACTTGACTATGGATGTGAGGCTTATTCATATGCAACTCCCACTGTTGGATGTTGGACTCAGTTCATAATGAAACTCTCAGAATCTGTACAGGGGCTTTCAGATCTTCACTTCTTGTATGCTGAGAGTAGAGAACCACCTCTTCCATTACACCAGGACTACATGAACGTGATTTACTACACGAGACTACAGAGGATTCTGGGATCTCCTACATCCAGATTGGTTTTCAACCCCCTTGAGGATAGCCGATCCTCCGGTAGGAGAATGAGGAATCTTGTTGAAGATCTTAATTTAAATCTCACTAAAGTTCTCCCCAATTCCCCCTTGGACCAATCAAGTCGAGCTGGATTTGGTCGGAATTAGGAAAGGGGAGAGATCCGAAGCAGAAGTCAGAGAGAGATTTCTTCACCACATTTCTAAGTACCAAGGATCAGATGCAAAATATACAGATGGTTCGAAATCTGAAAATGGTATGGGCTTTGCAGCAGAAGGAAGACTGCATTTAGCAATCTTTCTCTAGCATCCTCGATCTTCACTGCAGAGTTACATGTCATCCTTGCAGTAGTCAAGATGACTAGAGATCTTACGAACAATTCTATTGTAATATATTGTGACTCTTGCAGTGCCTTGCAAGCAATCAAGAGCTTAAACTCATCACATCCTTTGGTGAGGGAGGTTCATGATTAGCTTACACTTATGTCATCACATAAAAAGATAACTCTTGTGTTGTGTGTCAGCACATATTGGTATCAGTGAGAATGAACGAGCTGAGAGCTGATCGGAAGGCCAAAGCAGCTGCCGCTCAGCCCTTGTGATGCTCGTTTTCATCTCTCACACACTGATTTAAAACCTAGCATCAGAAGTTGTCTTCGTGATAAATGGAGGGAACAGTGCGGGCATACCTCTAGAAACAAACTGCGAGTTATTAAAGATGATCTTGGCAGTTGGATAACCAGCATCCATCCCAACCGAAAAGTAGAAGTTGTATGAACAAGGCAGAGAATCGGGCACACAGGATTGACTCATGGGCCGATGATGGCAAAAAGTGAAGCACGTTTTGAGGGATGCCAAGAGCTATTAACGGTCGCACATGTGGTAGAAAGATGTTTAACATTCGCAGACCAAAGACGTATGTACTTGGGGGCGGATTGTGACATTGGTCTTATGAGTTTCCTTAGGGAGACTAATATTTTCAATAAAATTTAATTATGCATAATGCTTATGCAATAATTTTATACATTTAGAGCATAATATTTATGCTTTGATTTTTATATATTTACTGTTAAGTCATTTAATGATAATTTTTTTTACGTTTTAGATATTTTAATATTTCAAACAAGCTAATGATCATAGCTGTCGACGTGGCAGATAATTTTGAATAATTATTCAACCAAGTAAATTAAATGTTGCGAAGATTGAGCTCTTTTGTGGCAAGGAAAGATTTTGGCTTTTATATTCTGGGGAACTATTTGGATACAGAATGTTTTCCTCCTAATCGATTCGAAAATAATGTGCCATCATAAACACAGCTGATTTACACCTCTTTTGCAGGCCATAGCTAGAGAAAGATGTCTTTTGGATCATCTATGTCGTTACCCATATTAGCACTGTAAGAAATAAGAACATAGGACACATACATTAATATAAACAAGACAATTATTCTCTTGGACGCACATAAACGCAGGTTCTGACATCCCAAACCAAAAACACCAAACATCTCGGATTAAACTTGAACTCACGAATTCTGAGTGTAAGGTTAACCTCCTGCGGTTTCATCTGCACAATGTTCTTGACGTCGCCATTGGAAGATAAAGGCTTCTCCTCGGTCACATTGTAAATGAATTCCGGCACGATTACTTCAGTATCACACCACGTTTTCCACTGCTCGAAGTCAGGGTCCTCACGGCTAATACAACTTCTGGTCTCGGTCTTGTCCTGGGCCTTTTGTAGGTTTTTGAAGGAATGATGGTATAGGGCGTTTTATTACCTTTTAAAAGTACATGTTCAAGGACGCTTTGTAACTTATTACAAGAAAAGGATAGGCAAGAAACGTTATATATCTTTTTAAAAGAAAACGTTTCGTAACTTTTTTATGAGAAAATGATGGTCAAGAATGTTTTTTAACTTAAAAACAATGATGGGCAAGGATGTTTCGTAACTTTTTATGAGATGATGATGATACAATTATGAAGGCGCAAAGAAAAAAAAATGAACACGGAAAAATCGTAGTCACCTTTGAGCACCAGATGCAGGTGGGATGACGGATACATTTTGTACATGTGTAGTGTTGACAGCCAGGATAATCAGCGGCCAAACAGCATGACAAGGCGACGAAGCAGACCACAATTAGCGTGAACTTCATTGCTGAAACTTAGTAGACCGTGTTTTGTAGCGTCTTCGAAAACCCAGACACTTTGAGTCATCCTCACCCATGTTTATCCCATTCTGTGTTTCCACCACAAGTACATTATGCCTTGTACTTATGCCACACGCGCACGCACGCACGCACGCACGCACGCACGCACACACACACACACACACACACACACACACACACACACACACACACACACACACACACACACACGCGCACGCGCGCGCGCGCGCGCCATTTTTCTAGAAAGATGATACTTTATTTTATTGTTTTTGTATAACGTTCTATCATATCTATGTTATATATTTCTTTATTTAGTTTTTACTAAGATTAGGAAACTGTAAAATATGATAGTTTACCCTGCAAGGTATTAGTTTTTTTTGTTACCCCCCACCATTTACCCTCTAAAGGGTACACTATTATACTTCAATGGTACTATTATATTATTTGATACTTTAATAAAGAAAACGGTTAGTGCGTAGAAGAGGGTAGTGGGTTACTTTCGAAACAATTTTGATATTTTTTTCTGAATGAAATCCACTACTTTCAACGATTCTAGGCATTGTTCATTGTGCAACTGGATCGTTGAAGAGATATGATCACCATCTCTATCGACAATCTTAATTTGATAGTCCCGATAGTAGGGGAGGGCATGAAGTATATCAATCAGGGAAATTATGGGGTAAAACAGGACCCCCGTGGTTGTTAAACAATGTGGTAGTATATGCGTCTAGAATTCACCCTCGCAATGTAAACAAGATGAGCGACTTAGCCTTAATTGGGGATCTTCTCTTTTCTTTTACGGATAGCAGCCTTGGGAAGCATTTGCCACATATTGCCATAGAAGAACTTTGTCTTGGTTTGTATTGTGCTATCATTTGATGTAGGTTTTATTACCCAACTCTGCCACTACTTTATACTGCACATTGTCCAAGAAAACAATATGTATTATTTTTGTTATTGGAAAGATTAATTTAAATTCTGAAATCATGCATGTATAGATTAAGAAGAACTATATATGTGTACTATATGTGATCTGAGTGGACCTTAGATTTTAAAGTATATACATATACATATGCTAAAACCTGATACTAAAGCTATAATCATAAAAAGGGAGAGAGAGCAGAGAGAAGTGCAATGCAACAACCTGAAAGTGTATTTGATTATCGTGAAATATCCGAGGTAAAATATCCAACTGTAATTATATAGTTAATAAAGTCATAAAATACTATAAATCTGATTCATAGAACAAAAGAAAGTAACTGTTTGAGATCAAACTGGAAATTAAAGAGTATGTCTTCTTCACAGTGAGTGGCTGGCACGTGGCACTTGAACGCCACCCGATGTCTCTCTTGTTATTATTAAGAATTAAAAAAAAAACATTCAAAGAGTAAGTGGTTTTAACATTTATAATGGTATAATATTAAATTGATGTTTAGACAAAATTACTATAATGTGCATATAACTACTCAGATCGCATATAATAATATTATACTTAATTTGTTTGTTTGTAAGAAATATTTTTGCTCCTTCAAGAAATTATTTAGTTATATTTGATAACTTTATATTGTTTTATCATTCCTTAACTAAAATAATTGTTTCTTTTCTAGGAATGTTTTATTTTTCTTGTTTGTTTGGTTTTGTTGAAGTTTTGGTTTTCACATCCATGGTGCTGTGAACAAGAATGAAAGAAAACACCATCATGGAATTGATGAAGGAAAAGAGAGAAGATATCTGAGAAGATAACAAGTGTGTTCTTATAAATATATATATATATATACACACACACACACACACACACACACACACACACACACACACACACATATATATATATATATATATATATATATATATATATATATATATACACATATACATATATATATGTATATCATCATCATCATAAGGGGGCATACGCATGACTGCGCTTTGCCGCGCCCAACCTTTGCCGCCACCTCCTGGGGTCCCTCCGAGCGAGCCTCCATGCAGCATTCCTTCCCACTCCCAGTACATCTCGGCAGATCTGATCGACTTGCTTCAGCCATGAGTTCCGTGGCCTTCCCCTTGGTCTTCTCCAGCCTGGGTCAACCCTCTCGGAGATGACCCTATGAGCCGGATCTTCCACAGGGAAACGAGCCACATGTCCATAGAGCTGAAGTTGGCGTTCTCGTATCAGACTGGTAATAGGTCTTGAATCAGTCTCATGAAGTATCCTCTGATTGGACACATGGTCCCTCCAGGTATACCCCATGATTCTGCGAAGACACTTAATACCAAAGGAGTTAAGACGGGCTTTCAGAGCAATGTCCAGGTCTCACATCCATAGAGTAAGACCGGGATCACCAGTGCTCTGAAGAGCCTGATCTTAGTTCTCCCAGTCAAATACCCACAGCGCCAAATACTCCTATTGACTGAGTCCATAACGCCGTAGGCCAGTCCGAGTCGTCGAGTGACTTCCCGGTCGGAACCTCCGTCGCTCTGCACTACACTACCAAGATAAGTGAAGCTATCCAAGACCTCAATGTTCTCGCCACAGGGATGCACAGACTGAACATCAACATCCAAAAAGTCCCCAAATTCCTGAACCTTGTTCTTGGTCCAGTTGACCGCGAGTCCCAACGGCTTCAGCTCCTCATGCAGCGCCTCGAGAGACCTCTAATGTCTCCGCTAGAATCACTGCATCATCGGCAAAGTCAAGGTCTGTGACTTTGAAATTACCAATTGATGCCCCACAGGAACTACGGTTCACGGTACGGCCAAGTATCCAGTCCATACAAGTGTTGAAAAGGGTTGGGGCCAGGACACATCCCTGTCTCACCCTGGCAAACACCGGGAAGAGGGCAGAGATGCCCTCTCCACACTTGACAGCACTCTCAGTATCTGTATACAAGCCAGACAGCAAACCAATAATTCCAGGGGGGATCCCACGGAGACCCAGTAGGCTCCAGAGACTCTCCCGGTGCACTGAGTCGAAAGCCTTCTTGAGATCAACATAAGCTGCAAACATACCCTGTTGAAACTCAAGTCGGCGTTCCACAAGGACACGAAGTGCTAAGACACGGTCTATAGTTAACTTCTTGGGTGTAAAACCAGACTGCTCAGGTCTCTGTGCTCGTAATAGGTGGTCGCGCACTCGTGCCAGAAGCAGATGAGCGAGGACCTTGCCTGGTACGCTGAGCAATGTAATACCTCTATAGTTGCCACAGTCCTTTTGGTCCCCTTTCCCTTTCCAGATAGGGATGACCAAGCCCCTTTTCCAGTCAGGGGGAATGGTACCAGTCTCCCAAACGGCAGACAGGACTGCATGCAAACCACAGATCATGGCTTCTCCACCCGCCTTCAGCAACTCTGCAGCAATCCCACAGACACCAGCAGCCTTTCCACTTTTCAGCTTAGACACTGCCCTTCTCACCTCTTCGATGGAAGGTGGTGCCTCACTGATTGGGGGATCAGCCACTAGTGGCTGTGTGCCAGCCAACAGGAGTTGTGAAGACGGGGGATCTACCCTATACAGTTGCTCAAAGTACTCAGCCCAGCGGGCCCTATACTAACCAGGCTCTGACACAATGCGACCATCCTCTGCTCTCACTGAGCCCGATTGAGAGATGGACTTTGATCGGAGTTCCCTCAGGGCTCGGAAAGCAGGTCGAAGGTCATTTTGGGCAAAATGACCTTCCAACTCTTCCACGATGCCCCTAACGTACCTCTCTTGGTCCACTCTCAATGAGGCCCTAGCAGAGCGAGACAGCTCCCTGTGCAAGACATGGTTCCCATCCAGTCTGGCAGCACGACTCATCTCTATAGTGTTCAGTGTCTCGTCTGAGACAACACACCTCCTTCGCCGAGGTCGGGCCCCAAGGCACTCCTCGGCAGCTGACAGAGTTCCTCGCTTAAAGGTATCCCACAGTTCAGCAGGGTCCTGTAGAGTACCAAGCACTTCAAACCGATTTGAGACTGCCACTGCATACTCCTGAGCCACCTCCTCACTCTTGAGCCTCTCGAGATGGAACACCTGCTGGTGAGATCTCGGGATGCGTCTAGATCTGAGGCGGAGCCTTAGTGTTGCGACAACAAGTCTGTGGTCGGTAGCAAAGAACTCAGCACTCTTAAAAACTCTACAGTTCTGAAGGATCCTCCAGCGAGTATCCACGAGAATATGGTCGATCTCTTTATCTACAACGCCAGTATTGGAGTACCAAGTCCAGCGGTGTAGATCTCGTCTCTGGTACCACGAGCCCGCAATCCTCAGCCTCCTAGATCTTGCGAAATCTAAGAGGTATGAGCTATTGATGTTCCTAGTACCAGAGCCATAGGGACCGATGCATAGCTCGTATCCTTCCCTGTCAGTGCCAGTGACTGCATTGAAGTCCCCCAAGACCATGAGGGTGTCCCCCCGGGGACATTGATCCACTATAGAGTCAAGTTTGGCGTAGAACATCTGTTTTTCTTCAAGCCCACTTCCCTCAGTAAACTGCAACTAGAGATATGAAGCCCAAAATGTGCTTCATTCTCACACACACACATACACACACACACACACACACACACACACACACACACACACACACACACACACACACATACACACACACACACACACACATATATAGGATATACACATTAACTATAAAAAGAGAATTAAGGGGGATGGGTTATATTAACAAGCACAAAGTGACTTCCGGCATAGATTACAAAACCATAAAACTTTGACTCTCATATATCACTGTCTTTTTTGCAACAGGTAATGCAAAGTTGCACGTACTTCAGATAAGTTTTCACACGACACAATAAGACTATCCAACCTGACACCACAGCACAAGCTTTTTGAATGTTCTTGTGTTCTTCCGAAGAGAACTTCCGTGGGTGCGGTTATCTCCAGGATAACCACACCCAATATAATCTTATAATCTCTTTCTCTCTATCTCTCTCTGTCTGTCTTTCCGTTTCTCTCTCTTCTCTCTCCCTCTAGCCCCCCATCACTATTGCTCT